GACTCCAACTCAAGGGGGGGGGGAGAAGGAAAGGGAGAGAGTTATCTTGCTGTGGCCTAGGCTGGTCCCCAACGCCTAACCTTAAATGATTCTCCCACATGAGATGGAGTATGCAGGCCTGAGCTACCACGCCTGGACTGATTTTATTTTATTTTTTAGAAAGGGGCCTCGCTACATTGCCCAGGCTGGCAAGACCCTTGTTAATACTGATACCAGAGATCAACACCCGCGTCCGCCTCTCCTCCACTTCTCATTAGCTAACAACTTTACAACGAAGGCCTAGTGGCAAGGGAAAGTGAGCCAGACTTTCCCTGTCTGGCTGGTCAGAATTTTTTTCCAATAAAAGCAAAGGATTCGGTTTCGGTTTTCGGGGCCTAACAGGGGCACTCCTCAGCAGGGCAAGGCAAAATCCCTGTGGTTAGTCCAGAGGGCCTGGGTGCTGCGCAGGTTGGGGGTGGTAATGTGTAGCTAGGAGCTCTCACCATAAGGAGAACAGGGCCCTCTGCTGGCAGTGTCCTGGAGGGTCACTTCACCGGTCACACCAAAGTCTTGAAGTCTGGTGCCAATATGGAACAGCTCATCAATAGGACGAACACATTCTCGTTCTCTGACAGAATAACGATTTGGAAAGGAGGAAAACTGGGGCAACAAGGAGGCAGACGCAAGACACAAGGACCGATGCACACATGGAGGAGTTTGTCCTATGTGTCATACCACTCCAGCCCCTTTTTCCCCACTCCCAACCCCTGTCCACATCTAGACCAGCCTCTCTGGTGTGGCCCTACCTTTGGGTTCTCTGTCTGGCAAGGACATGCACAAGCCTCATATTTATATGCCCATGGAAAAAGCTCAGCACACAACCAAAGTCCCGTTTGCCCCCAACCCCCAGGCTCTCCACACTCAACCCAGGCTGGGAGTGCTTTGTCTAAAATATACAGTTCCTATACACATACTTCTCATAGTCTTTTCAACTTTTTTTTTTTTGAATCGGGGCCTCTCTCTGTCGCCCAGGCTGGAGTGAGTGCAGTGGCACGATCGGAGTGTAGTGGCACGACCACTTCTCACTGCAGCCTTGACCTCCTGGGCTCCAATGAGCCTTCCACCTCAGCCTTCCAAGCAGCTGGGACTACAGGTGTGAGCCATTACACCTGGCTAATTTTTAAAAATTATTTTCTGTAGAGACGAGGTCTCACTATGTTGTCTAGGCTGGTCTCGAACTCCTGGGCTCAAGCAATTATTCCGCCTGGGCCTTCCAAAGTGATAGGATTGCAGGAATGAGCCTCTGCACCCGGTGGCAACTTCCATTGTCTTAATGGATGATATGAGGTGTATATCTAAGAATATTGCTAGGGGAGAATCTAATGAGGACCACACAGGACAAAAGGCAGAAATTAGTAGCTTGGGTCCAGAACGCGTCTCTGAGTGAGTTTGCTTGGCTGAAGACCTTGGAGCTGAGGCCCCGCCCACGGTGTTCAAAGGAGCGAAGAAAGCATAATGTTAGAACCCACAATGGCCTCAGCAGGAGCCCCATATGTTTTTTATAAAAAGGCACAGTGTGAGCATTGTTCTGAGCTCAATGGCGCAACTGTTACAACCAATGCTTTTGGTATGAATACGACCATTTAAAATTCTCAACTGGTTGCACTTGGTGACAATACGCTTCAGAAAACAAGCCCAGAAGCAGAGATTTCTCACTTAGGGGTCAGTTGGCTTTAAATACACATACACATGCCTTTTAATGTGCCCGACTTCCAAAAATACACTGAACATTTGCAGAACAATGTTCTTGTCCCTGGTGTTTGCAGCTACAAAGCTGAAGCAGCTTTTTACGTGAATATCTGAGAACCTAACTTTGATTCTTTTAAAAATATTTTTTATTTTATTTTATTTGAGTTGGAGTCTCACTCTGTCGCCCAGGCTGGAGTGCAGTGGCACGCTCATAGCCACCCCAGCGTGGACTTGCTGGGGTCCAGCGATGCTTCCACCTCAGCCTTCCAGTAACCAGAACTACAGGCACACACTACCACGCCTGGCTAATTTTTTTTTTGATTGTAGAGACGCCAAGTTGCCTAGGCTGGTCTTGAACCCAAGGACTCAGGCAATCCACTTGCTTCAGCCTCCCAAAATGCTGGGATTACAGGCTGAGTCACCAAGCCCAGCTTTTTAAAAATTATTTTAAAGATGTGGGGTACAATTCAAGGTTGTGTATCCAAATGGTCATTGTGCAGGTAAAGTTTGGGCCTCACTTTGATCCTCATTTCACCTGGTTTGAGATCAGGTACCCTTATCGATGAAGTGTGCCACCCCTCCCCTGGCAGCTTTCCACTACTGCCAATTCCCTTCTTAGAGTATTATGATCATTGTTCAGGATCTACTTATGAGTGAAAACATGTGGCACTCAGTTCTTTGTTTTTGTGATAGACCACTGAGTATGATAGACTCTAAAGTCCATCCTAGTTGCTGCGAAGTTCATAATTTTGTCCTTCTTTATGGCTGTGGAATATTCCATCATGTGATTTTGATTTTATGTACACAGGGCTGATGCCCAAATGGAGGAGTTTCTCCTATGTCATGCCACTCTACCTCCTTCCTTCCCATTCCCAACCTCAGCCCACCCAGATCAGCCTCTCTGGCACACAACCACGGCCTCCTCATGAAAGGGCCTCTAGGTCCCCACCCCTCCTCACCTTCAGTTTCAACCCTCCTCAGGCCTGGCTGACCCAGTGGGGTCTCTGAAGGAGAGAAGGATGAACTCAGTTTTGAATAACATAATTAGAAGAAAGCTCTTTCTGGGTCTTGGAACAAATGTCCCCAAATGTCCAAGTACACTAAACACTTGTATTTAAGCAGCACACCATCTGAGCCTGTCTTCAATTTGGGGAAATTCCCCATAGCTTGAGTCGTCTTGAATGAAGGTAGCCTCCCACTTTTATTACTGAAGTTAGGAGGTTGGCCAAAAATCAACTAAGGAACCCTGGACTCAGCCTATCAGACCTGGGCTTTTGTGGTAGTGACGTCATCCGCAGAAGAGTCAGAGATTATTGGTGGCAGTGGAGTTGAGGGCCCAGTATCCACCTGGTCTCTCCTGTTTTCAAGCCTCGTTCTCCAATATCCCTAGACATTGCCAGACTGTACTGGTATTCTGCCAACAAATCCTTCTGCCAGGGCTGGTGACTGTAGTTAGTAAACAAGACCCTCCTCACCCCTCCTCCCAGCCGTGCTACAGAAGACACACACACTTCTTTCATCAATTTGTATTGAAGAAAAAGAGACCATTTTGCGCTTAAAGTTGAAGTGCTCGTCTTGTCTCTCCTCCCTCCAGCCAACCCTGACAACCCCTCTCTGATCACAAAACGAAGGAATACTGCAGTTTTTAAGATCCATAAATTAATTACCAGATAACCCACAAGACGTGGGTAAGGCCACATGAGAACACTTTGAGGGAGTATTCTGGGAAGGCCTGGCCTGGGTCCTCCATGACCCCTCAAGGAAAAAGTACCAATAAACCAGCATCACCCCCAGTTATGTGGGTGAGAGGTAGGGGTGGTACTCTCACGCTCACTGCCTATAACTGGGTAAGGGGAGGAGGGAAGGGCGGCTTATCCGGAGGACAGGTCCCTGGGGGCCGGGCCAGCCTGGGATACAGGGGATAATGGCCAAGGTCGCTCCGGACGGCGTCCAGTTGGTCCTGAAGAAGCCGGACACGCTCGTCCAGGCAGCGCTGCTGGGCCAGCATGGCGGCCTTGCCGGCCAGCAGGGCGCAATAGGCGCGCAGCTCCTCGGCCGGCAGTGCCCGCGCCAGCACCTCGCGCAGAGCCCGCTCGCGCCGCGCCACATGCTCCCTCAGCTCCTTGGCGTCCTCCCGCTGCCGCTGCAGGAGCCCGAGTCTCTGCAGCACAGAGGCCTGCAGCCGCGAGAAGGCGCCGTGAGCCGGGCGAG